TAACTTATACACAGTTAGTAAAACTTTATCTTAATTCTTAATTTTTCTTTAGCATTTTCGCTTTTATTTCATTCTTAATTAATTGTCTTAATGTGTGGCGTTACATTTTTTGATACCACTTGTCACAAAATATCATAGTTTCACGAGCCCCAACCCTTTCTTTCAAACATAATAATTTTTAAGTGGACGCTCCCTTTTCGACAAAAGGGGACCTTAAAAAATAATTTGTTTTAATATTTTTAAAAATTAATAGCTCACTTAAGTAAACATTATTTACTAGTTTTCATACAGATAAAATATTTTTTTTTCCTTTTACTATATTACTTTTGATTTATTTCAAGAAAAACTTGATAATTACACTGGCTACGCTTACTTATTTCTCAGCACTTGAAAATTTCATCACGTGATTATCAGGTCTGATATATTTATTTTAAAAGTTTATACAACGTAGTGGTGAAAGTTATTGTAAATCAAATTTATTAAAATCAAACGGTAAATATTGCAACGGCCTTAAATAGTTAACGCAAAATCTTCTGTTAAAAAGAGAAAAGTCAGCATTTGTATTTATTAAGTTTAAACATTAATTAAAATAAACATTGTTATGATTACACTGGGGAATATTTTTTGTGGTATTTATTTAGTACTTGATCTTACCTAATTCGGAAAATATTATTTGAAATTTGAAATTAGTTTTGTTCAGAAAACTGCAGATTTTTTTTTTATAATAGTATTTTTTGATTTAGTTTACTCCTTGTTTGAAAGTACAAGTTTAAAAAGAACGTATAGGTTTATACTGCATTCGTATTTGCACTTGTCTGTTCGTTTGAAAATAACGCTCAAGACATGTGACCTTCACCTCTCAGACCTGATATATTTACCTTTAGACTAAGCACGGCCTGAAAACCCTTTTAAAGAGGTAGCTAAATTTTTAGAAATATATACGTGCTTTAAACTATACTAGGCTTTGAAGTATAATTTTAGGAGATAAATAAAATCTGAGCCGCAATGGCTCAGGGGATAGAGAGCTCGCCTTTCAATGAGGTGAACCCTGTTCGAATTCTAGCGATGAATGGTCGATACGAATCCGCATACGACTTGCACCGACCACAATGCTGACGTGAAATATTCTCAGTGGTAAACGGTTCATGGGTTGGAGTCCCTTTGCCATCAGGTTAATCATGGAAGGTACTCGCAGTCTTCCTCTTCATGTGACGCAAATGCGGGTTAGTTCCATCAAAACGTAATCCAAGAAGACAAATTTCTCCTAATACTTGATCCAGGAGTTCCCTTGTCTTCTGCACTGGTTTCAAAATTATAAGGCTACGGAGTTGAGCATTAGTAGTGATAAACCCAAAAATTGGGTCGGCTGTTCAACAATGGTTGTAAATAAAATAAAATCGGTTAAAATTATGTAATTTTTTTTCATCGAGGAGTGAAAATTTGATTTTAAAAATCAAGTTTATTTACTGAAATTTTAAACAGTCTTGAAAAAAGTTCATTACCACCTTTTAAATTTTTCCATGTTGTAGGTACCATTGGTGAGGTGCACTAATACATTCCTTGGGTTTGACGAGATTATCATATCACATCATAAACGGAAATGTATTATTGTACTGTAAATATTACTCCCTACGCAACGGAGAAGTGGGGACACTTAGTGGTAACTTTTAGAAATCCTGGTTAGAAATGCATTATTAAGTTGCATAACAACTGTAGCTTGTGCAGAGAAACCAAAAAGCAGATTTGAAATCACAGCGACGTGAAGATTTCTAAGATCNCGAGCACAGGATTGCGAAGCAATCCGAAATGAACTGCGAAAGCAGTTCCAGGGGTTGGCAAGCGCCAGCGAGCAGGAGGCGAAGCCTCCTAGTTTATTTTAAAAGTTTATGCACCGTCGTGGTAAGTAATTGTAAATCAAATTTATTGAAATCAAACGGTAAATATTGCAACGACCTTAAATAGTTAACGCAAAATCTTCTGTTAAAAAGAGAAAAATCAGCATTTGTATTTATTAGGTTTAAACATTAATTAAAATAAACATTGTTATGATTACACTGGGGAATATTTTTTTGTTGTATTTATTTAGTGCTTGATCTTACCTAATTCGTAAGATATTATTTAAAATTTAAAATTAGTTTTGTTCAGAAAACTGCAGATTTTTTTCCAAAATAGTATTTTTAGTTTAGTTTACTTTTTGTTTGAAAGTACAAGTTTAAAAGTAACATATAGGCTTATACTACATTCATATATGCGCTTGTCTGCTCGTTTGAAAATAACTCTCAAGACATGTGACCTTCACCTCTCAGACCTGATATATTTAGCAGGGGTGTCAAACTCAAAAGCTAACTTGGGCCAAATAAACAATGCTTAACTTTNAAAAAAAAAAAAAAAAAAAAAAAAAAAAAAAAAAAAAAAAAAAATCAATGTTCATAGAAACAAATATTTTTATTTTGAATAGCACATTGTAAATAAAGTTAACTTATTAGTCGATACTTGTCATTTCTTCTCTGCTACTATCTTTCCTATTTCGGGAGAAATTTCATTGGCCGAGACTACTTTCGAAATTGATCCAACGCGTGCGTTATTAATACGGTTTCGGACAGGAGATTTATTTCCTTTCATAACAGAAAATAATTGCTTGCACTGATGAGTACTTCCAAACATGGAAATAATTTCATATGCGAATTTTCGAGTATTTTCAAACCTTGCCGGTAAATATTTGTAAAATTCAGGCATACCCACTTCAATGAATTTTGCCTTCAAATTTGAGTCGCACTGAATCTCAATCACTTCCATTTGCATACTACTGGGTACTGAGTCTATATTTATTGAGAAAATCGACGAAAACAAACAAAAAAAATTTTCCGAAGAATTAAAATATTTAAACCTTGTTTCAAATTCTGTTCTAAGATTTGAAATTTTTTCATTTTTTCTGCGTATTTTTGATACGATGCAGTATCTCTGGAATGGCAGGTGCCGCAAGACAATTAGAATTTTACATTTTCGCGCGTACAATTTAAAATAATCCATATAGTTTATAAATGAAGAATATTATAATTTCATATGCTAGTTTCCTTTCTAATTCACATTTCTATTTTATTTTTAATTTGCGTCGGATATATTGATTGGGCCGCAAAAATGTTCATCTCGAGCCGCATGCGGCCCGCTGGCCCCGAGTTTGACACTCCTGATTTAGACTAAGCACGGCCTGAAAACCCTTTTAAAGAGGAAGCTAAATTTTTAAAAATATATACGTGCTTTAAACTATAGGCTTTGAAGTGTATAATTTTAGGAGATAAATAAAATCTGAGCTGCAATGGCTCAGGGGAAAGAGTGGTCGCCTTCCAATGAGGTGAACCCTGTTCGAATTCCAACGATGGATGGTCGATACGAATCCGCATCCGGCTTGCACCGACCACAGTGCTGACGTGAAATATCCTCAGTGGTAAACGGTTCATGGGTTAGAGTCCCTTTGACATCAGGTTAAGCGTGGGAGGTTCTCGTTGTCTTCCTTTTCATGTGACGCAAATGCGGGTTAGTTCCATCAAAAAGTAATCCACGAAGAAAATTTTCTTTTAATACTTCATCCGGGAGTTCCCTTGTCTTCTGGACTGGTTTCAAAATTACAAGGCTACGGAGTTGAGCATTGATAAACTCCAAAACTGGGTCGGCTGTTCAACGATGGTTATAAATAAAATAAAATCGGCTAAAATTATATGCATTTTTTCTTTTTATCGCGGTGTGAAAACTTGATTTTATAAATCAAATTTGAAGTTTATTTAACGAAATTTTAAGCAGTCTTGAAAAAAAGTTCATTGTCACCTTCTAAATTTTTCCATATTGTAGGTACCATTGGTGAGGTGCGCTAATACATTCCTTGGGTTTGACGAGATTACCGCATCACATCATAAACGGAAATGTATTATTGTACTGTTACTACTATTCCCTACGCAACGGAGAAGTGAGGACGCTTAATCGAGTGAACTTTTAGAAATCCTGGTTAGAAATACATTATTAAGTTACATAAAAACTGTAGCTTGTGCAGCGAAACCAAAAAGCAGATTTGAAATCACAGCGACGTGAAGATTTCTACGATCCGTTCAATAATTCTACGCATCTGAAAAGAACAAAAAAATTGCTCCGCATTGTTATCTGATAAACAATTATATTTATTTTAATTTATTCTTTTCATTTCTTTCTCCCGTTATATTTCACATATTAAAATTAATTTTTGCTAGCTTCAATTTTTTAAAATTTTTAATTGTGTAAGAATAATTTTTAATTGCAGCATACAATGTGATATTTATAAGAAACTACAAAATCGAGTTTCAATACTTTTTTTTTAATTTCGTTTGTATATATATTTTTTTAAACATGTTTTTAATCGTTAACTTTTTATTTAAGTTTGATCATTTTTTGAGACATTACAGAATTGATTTTAAAAAAAAACTTTTTGTGTTTTATTCCCTGTTTAACGGTACACAATTTTAAACTTCTTTTTCTTCAAAAATATGCTTTCAATATTTGTCTTTTTATGCCAATTTCTAGAAAAAAAAGTCTTAAAAACATTACATTTAAATATCTTTTTCAAAAGTTGATTTTTCTTAATTTTCAACAAATTTTGTGATTTTTTCTAGAATATAGAACTCAAATAAAAAGAGTTTTCGAAAATAAAATTTATTTAGTAGTTTCTTAGAAAAACTGCTTAACGCAAAAAAAAGAAGAAAAAATTCTATAACTGAAGAGTTTTGAAAGACATTCTAAACAAAGAATTAAAAACAAAACAAGAAAATTTCAAAACTAATTGATTAGTTTCTCACAAAAATTACATTAAACGCAACTATAAAATTCAAAAATCCGATTAAAAAGATTTGAAACATTTCATATTTTAAATTGATTTAATAGCATATGAAAAAAAGACACTACATGGAATCTGACTCCTTTTAAATGATAGTAAGCACTTCAATGCGTACAAAACACATGTAAAGAAACAAATCGGAAACGAACAAAAAACTTTTTAATAAGCTTTCTTGAAGAAAAATATACTGTTTACTTAATTTATTTAATTACAGGCACATCGTCATTTTCACTAAGCTAATTTTTCGAAAAACAGATTTTTTAAATTGATATGCACCATAACATGCATGCAAAAATGTCTATCTACTTTGCTTTCTTGGAAAGTATTTTTTTTCTTGTGGTAGCGAAAGTTTTATTTTGATGTATGATTCTATTTTAGTAAATTCCACTCGAAGTTATTTTTCCCACTACACAATAAAAATATTTCAAAGATTTACAGCACTATATTTATATACAGAGCTTTACTACATATATAGCAGCATTTTTTCCAATTTTCTCGGATTGATTCGTTTAAAATGTTGAAAAAATTCTATTGGTTTTAGATTTTAATTGTCAACAACTTTAAAGAATACACGTGCACCGTGCAACCTAAACTAATTTTTTTATTCAGACATTTATCTTTATTAATCTGCTATTGAGAAAGTTATGATGCAGAATTATCAACCATCCGGCATTCTTTAGAGAAAACATCGAACTTGTAGCCATCGCAGCACATTTCTCCTGGTCTTGGAGAACAATCACATCCAAATAAGTTACATATCAGCATAGGTCGACCTGGTAGAGCTATTCGCATTGCAGGTACGGAGAGAATACTTAAAGCACAGACTGCCACGGTTAGATACAGTTTAGACTCCATTCTCTTAGTTTCCTGGAGATACAAAAAAAAAAGTTGAAACATACGTATGAATTTAGCTAATACCAATACCATATACTTGTACCTAATATACCATATATAACCAACTATATACCCTACTATATTACCCTATATTACTACTATATTACCCTACCATAGGAAATTATTATAGGCCAATTAGGAGGCCCACAATGTGGCTCTATATTTAACTATGTAATTATTTAATAGTGGCAGTCGTTCGTGCCGGACAAACAGGCACAGGATTTTAAAAAGAGCAAATTCATTTTATTTAATCATCATTATGAGAGAAACAGGCACATATTGAATGACACTCCTCAATAAACGTTAGGGAAAATCTTTCAAATAAATCCGTAATATCTCTCGTTTTAGGGAATAAGGGAAATCTTAGTGTAATTGCAATTGGTCTATTAAATAGGGCTAGGGAAATAGAGTCTTTCGCGTGAGTTAGTTAAAGGGAAAAATGTCTAACTGTTAATAAATGCATACTTGAACTAAAAATAGATTAAAAGACAGGATGTGAATTTTAAAGTGTGAGAGAAAGAGCGTTTCGATTTGAATAATACATTAAGACAAAGATTTACAGAAAAGGAATAACATAAAAAGAAAAAGATTAGTTGAAGCTTTTTATGTTACATATATATATATATATATATACATTCTCGCTCTTGGGAAGTCATATGGAGGTAAAAGCTCCAAAATTTTGTAACGAACGACATGATTATGGCAGTGTGGTCAGCACTTAGCATTGCAATTTGGCCTCCTTTATCTTTAAAAAATATTGGTAGTTACACTAGGTATATTAAACTTATTTTGTCATTTCAGCTATATTTTATTACATTTTTTGCCCACTCTTCACAAGTGACTTTCACGGATTATTTAATTCATGCAGGAAATTCTTTTAATAGTGGTCTAGCCAGATTATAACTACAGTTGTTCAAGTTATAGGTCCATTACTATTCTGATAAAGCTCCAATCGATGTTATTGAGACCTTGCTCTCTAAATATTGTGCTAAATATTTTCAAGCCAAACGTTAGAAGAATTTTGTATCAAAACTATTAAATGCTACCTAAATGAAAGTTTTCGACTTAGAAAGTAATTGTAGTAACCACAATCCATTATTTCTATTGCCCTTATTTTCTTTTTGCAAGTAGAATTCACAACAGCGTTTTTAGCTTTTGTCAATAATTTTACGCTTGATGCATTTTTACATGGTGTCCTATTACATTTATATGAAAAACTAAATGACATATAATCACTTTTATTTCATGGATACGAGCACTAAGTAAATTAAAAAAGAAACGAGGCTACAAACCTATGTAATAAACTATTTATAGTAACAGTAAACTTTATTGATACAAAAACAGTTCAAACTACAAAATCAGTGCAGATATGAAACCCAGGCATGCGTACAAAATGTAACCTAAAGATATCAATGCAGTAACCTGAATAAAGCGTGTCATGTAAGTTTGNAAAGGTATATATATATATATATATATATATATATATAATTATTAGGAATATACCATACACCTAATACACAACTGACAATTATTAAGCATTTATCGAAAGATTTTCTCTGGTATTAATAACACTACAAATAAATCTGCGGAATTTCGCCTATGCTTTAAAATTGTTATAGAGAAAACATAAAATTGTTTACTTATTGTGAGTTTAATGATTAGTAATGTATGTAATTTGAATTTCAAATTGAAAAGTGTTTGATAATGATTTTAAGTTTTTACAAACATAGTTATATTGATTTTTAAAAAGTACAAGTGTAACTGAAAATTCTAGTAAAATACATAAAATTAAGTTTCAATACAAAGATATAATTTAAAATCTAAAAACTCTCTGTATAAATAAGGGAAATACGAGATAAAAAGAAGTGGATTAATTGTATTTTTGCGCATTAAAATGTCAGGTTTGTATGGAAATAGTAAATTAGTTTCGTTGTAATCCAGCTTCCTCTATTTTCAGCATTGGGGTAAAATTCCTCCAATTTCTCTTTTAGTTAATTATTATTATTATTAAAATAGAATTTTTTGATGTGATGTAAATGTACGAACCTTGTTGCTAGAAAATATCTTTATCATTAAGTAAACAGGTTTCATGAATAAAGAAAAAGTAGTTCGTCATGAGATTTTTATGTACAAATGCATTTTGATTTAAATTTGTCAACGCTTTTAACAGTGCTATTTAGACAAGTGAGGTAGTCAAGAGTATTCTACCTTAGATCGATGGTATCTCAAACTAGAATAATATTTGCAACTCAAAAGTTAAACTTTCACCCACTAAACTTGATTTGCTTATACAAAAATTGACTAAAGATAGTAAAATAAGTGATATTTTTTTCCCAATGCCCACCTGTGTTAACATCCGTCAATTCAGGCATTTACAGGGCGATTTCGTGGGCCTTTCTTTCAGAGGAACCATATTAGGTGGACCAACGTCGCTCCCACAGTGAGATCAGATATTACAGAGAAGGAAAGAACATCCATGCCTTGCCCGGGATTCGAACCCAGAACCTTTCTGATGCAAGGACAGTTCCCTGCCCCCTACTCAGGCCGGGCAGCAAATAAGATATAAGATGAGTGTTAAAGATAGTATAATAAATTAAAAAGTTGGGACTATTGAATTAAATCTACAATTAATAAGTATACTTGAAAATTTATTATTTATAATAGTGAATAGAAAAACATAAAATTACTTATAATAAATAAAGAAGTTCAATTTTACCTTTCTTTCATTCATTAGCTGAATAAGTTGAATTGAAAATAATTTTGTAGCATCTTTTTAAACTTATGTACTTGCTTTTATCTTTTTACTATACGACGGAATCTTGTCACTAAAATATCAAATCAAATGCCAATTATGACAAAGCTGTTTTACTCATTGAAACACATTTCCGTTTTTGATGATTCATACTAAAACATTTCCTAAGCTCTGAAATATGTGATATTATAAATGATATGAGGATGCGTTTCAATGCTCAAAAGCCAAACTAACACCACACAACGTAAAAGTGTTAACGTTAAAATAATTTCAATTCGTTTAATTTTGATAACGCATAAAAACTTCCCAACCCGATTCGCAGGCCTTATAAATTTATTTAAATTGATTACGTGGAGCCATGATCAAAATTATTATCAAGATAAAATTGTAAATCATAAAATTTTCTACCACTTTAAATAATTAAAAAAAAAATATTCCCGTTCGAATGAGAGAAGTTGGCATAGATAAGTCCATTTTTTGAGAAGGATTAGTAGTTCATTTATTACATTATTTTCAGTGTCTTTATAAAAAATATTTGCATTTTGTTTCGAATTTGATTTGTGATTGTCACCAAATGTAAAGTGCACTAAAAATTAACGGACCACCCGGAATAACTTTTGATCTGATCATCCCGTTCAAGGACTCAGTCTCAATAATTGGAGAGGGTGATTTCAAATATGCTAATTAATTAGTAATTGCGAAAGATTTAACTTTCATATTTTGAGTAATAGTAAAACCTTTGCTATCTCTAGATTTATAAATCTAGTTGAGAATAATTTTATTTAATAATGCAAATCTATAAATTAAACACCAGGGCTAGTAATGAGTAACCAGAACAATTTCAAGTCTGGATGACTTACAGATTTATTTGTCTGTAATTGATTTTTTAATTTATGTTTTACTATCACTTCAGGAAACCATTTTAAAGAAGAGCAAAGCTTGGCAGGTATGAATTATTGTTATCCTTTTTGCTTAACCGGTTTTCTTATCCTTTTTGCTTAACAGGTGAGTTTTGCTTTACCGGTTTATTTGTCTGTAATTTTTTTTACCCGGTTTTAATAAGCGAAGTAATATTGACTTCATATTTAACCATAATTTTGCGTGCCAAAAAATAATACTCCCTCTGTCTCAAATTAGTTGCAACATACATATAGGTCAAAAATTTTGTCTAAAATTAGTTGCTATATTTTAAGTTGATTTAATCATAAATAACTTACGATGCAGTTCGACACCAGTAAAATTATGCTACTATTACAATCACAATTCGTAAGTAAATGTTGTTGATTTATAGAATAGCATACCTGTTGACAGAGATGCCAACTTGCTCCGGACAGCAAATATATATTTTAAAGAGGTAGTTTATCAATTGTGATTCTTGGTTTAATAAATTCGATTTAGTAGATTTTTATCAGCCACTAGTTCTAAATAATTCGTAGGCTTATATGTATCATTCACCACTTGATAGTACCTCTATCATGCTATACTTTTGAAAAAGCAAGCAAAACTAGTAAAATATTTGCAAAATTCACTTTGTAGTTATTTATCGTTTTTTTTAATTATTTTGGCGTGTCCGGAGCAGTTGGCATCTCTGTGTTGATACCCTGTATTAAATGGTGGAATATATGATAATTTGGTGCTGCTGTGTGTGTAAAAAAAGAATTAAAGTTTATGGTGATGAGATAGAAAATCATTAATGAACGAAAAGAAAATCATTAAATAAAACTTAATCAAATTAGCCGTATAATAGAATTAGAAAAAATATTGGATACAATCATCCTAATTAACCTAGCCATTAACTGATTAAATTTGCTGCCACACGTGGTGGATAACCTAACAATTTAGTGGTAGTATAAAGCTAAAAGGAGTCTCTGGAAAATAAATAATAAATTTAGATATAAGTAGATTAAGCTGAAATAAAAAAGAAGAAACATAATTCTAAGAAAACGACAAAAATTACTTACACAGATTTATTTCCATCACATTAAACGAGGACACACTAAATTCAAAAAATGCATATTTCAAATTTTTTTAACACTCAAGTAGAAATCAAAAATTAATTTTGATCGTTGTTTTCCACTACAAACATTACAGATCAACATGGATCCTGAAAGATTATCACAATTTCATTATTGAGAATCATACTCTGCTCTCCATTCTTGTAGAGAACAACGGCAGGCCGAAGCCTCCGCGCCTCACCAACTCTTATCATAGACTGAGGTATCAAATTACCTCCAAAGGGACGCTTCATTATTGTTGCCACCATTCCAATACTTCCTTCCCAACATCTGGATGTAGGTGTCTCTGCCCTCGAGTTGGAATTTGGCTCTATCTGCTCCTAGAATCCTGAACCATAGTCATAGGAAATTTGGAGACTTGTCAAAAAAATATTATTAGAATAAACCGTCGAGTGTGAAAAGTTCCGTGGAGTGTGAAAAGTTCTCATCAATGAAGAGTGTGAAGAATTCAAAGTAGAATAACCTTGGAGTGTGAAAAGTTCTTATCAATAAAGAGTGTGAAGAATTCAAAGTAGAATAAACCTTGGAGTGTGAAAAGTTCTTATCAATAAAGAGTGTGAAGCATTCAAAGTCTATTTAGTGCCTCAAAAATTATTGTTACAATGTGTAACACCCTGGAATCACTGAAAAACTTTAGAATAAAGTCATAAAACCATCAGTATCATTAATCAGTACAAAAGTATTCAAATGTAGCAACTAATTTAAGACAGAGAGAGAGAGAGTATTAGGACAGAAATACTATTATTTATCAGATCATATGTATTAAATCACCTGTTGCTATAAAAGAGAACTTCCAATCTCTCTACAGCTCTTGGATCGAACATCGAACTTGTAACCATCACAGCATTTGGCACCAGGACTTGGCAGGCAATCACATCCGAACAAATTACAATACCTATGAGGAATACCTGATGTACTGTGCTCCCTTCTTTTTATTCGTTGGAACATAATATCATGAAATTCATCTGAGTTAGCAACACTCGCAGCAGATATAGACAGGAGACATATTAGAAAAATAACCAAGGTCAGACACGATTTCATTCTGAAAATGTCAGAGAAAAAAATCATAAGCGAAATTAGGTACAAAGAAAATTCGGTAAAAGCTTCTCACATGACTGAGAAAAAAAATTATATTTTCCGTCGATGAAATGTGTGCAAATGTATATAAAAAAAATAATGAGATACTTTCAAGAGGACCCGGAGGATTTAAGATGTTTGAAGACGTCTATTAAAATTCTGTCATCAACGAGTTTGAAAGTTCTTAAAGACAACTATTGAAATTTGAGAACTGCCCTCAAGATTTCAATATACCTGGTCACCTTAGCATAGCTTATCTATGCTTCGCTGGGAAGTAATGTCCTAGGATGCGCAACGCTGTTATGTCATCCTCAAATGCTCTTGCATTACACTCTTGGCCGACAAACGGCTGTTGTTCGAATGCTTTACTTTTTCATGGTCTCCGTGAGCCTCACATATCCATTGATGACCTAAAGTAATTTTATTTTTCATTTATTTATTTATATATGGCTCAGGGGATAGAGCGTTCACCTTGCAATGAGGTGAACCGGGTTCGAATTCCCAGTGATGGCTGGTCGAAACGAATCCGCATTCGGCTTGCACCGACCACAGTGCTGAAGTGAAATATCTTCAGTGGTCGACGGATCATTGGCTAGAGTCCCTTTGACGTCAGGCTAACCGTTCGAAGTTCTCGTGGTCTTCTTCTCCATGTAACGCAAATGCGGGTTAGTTCCATCAAAAAGTCCGCCAAGAAAGCAAATTTCTACCAATACTTGATCCAGGAGTTCCCTTGTCTTCTGAATTGGGTTCGAAATTACAAGGCTACGGAGTTGATCATTAGTAGTCGTAAACTGAAAATTCGGTCGGTTGTTCAACGACGGTTATAAAACAAAATAAATTATAAAACAAAATAAAATAAATAAGATAAATAAAACAAAATAAATAAACGGAGTCAGAACGGCTCGATAATAGAGCAGTTCTGACTCAGGGGATTTGAGGGCTCACCTCCCAATGAAATGAACTAGGTTCGAATTCCAGCGATGGCTAGTCGATACCACCCGGCTCCCACCGACCATAATGCTGACGCACTGGATTCAGTATTAGGCGGATCATGAGTTAAAGTTCTCCTACCGTCAGGCTAACGCGTGAGAGGTTTTCGGGGTTTTTTTTTTCGTCTCCATGCAACGCAAATGCCGGTTAGTTCCATCAAAAAGTAATGCATGAAAGCAATTTTCCAACAATACTTGCTCCAGGAGTTCCCTTGTCTTCTAGAGTGGGTTCAAAATTACAAGGCTACATAGTTGAATATTATTAGTCGTAAATTCAAAAATTGAGTCGACTGATCAACGAGGGTAATAAAATAACATAAAATAAAATGACAAGTAAGACGTACTAGCAATTCAGTTTATCAATATACTGCAAAACCTTTAATAGTTTTGTATAAACAGTGCCAAAGCACAAAAAAATAATAAAATAAACAAATTAAAAACAAGTAAATAAGTCTTCTAGTACATAATTAAGAAAAATAATGCCCAATCTGAAACAAAAAACAGGTGATGATTAAAATTCCTTACGAAGTTATATCTGCCAACTTTTAAGTTTACCAACGAAGAATTTTCCTAGTGCTTATGAAATTCTACTTGAAGTGGCATTGCAGACAGAATAAGAAATAAGAAAACTAACAGGCAAGCTAAAAATATGCTTATTCTATTTAAGTGCTATTACAGTTAAATCAATTTTGGTTAAATTAGTCAAAAAATATAGAATCAAGTGTAAATGGAGTAATATTGCTACCACTTCAACTCCTTAACGATCGGTTAATTTTCAAAAAACTGTCATAAAAGTGCCTATTTTTTTGCCTTTTATATTTGTATTACGTATTTGATAAGTGCTAACATCTAGTTTAAAATAAACTAACTATCAACAATTACCTTAAAAATATCCTGGCACTGCCGTCTGGTGTGTAAAATATGGGAAAAAAATTTCCAGGCAAAAGAAATAAATTAGTTTTATTCTTATTGGCGCGTTACTACTTGAACACTCCAGCCTGTCAATATCACGGGAGCGAGAAATAGAGGGCGAAACCACACCCCGTCATTTTCACGGGAGCGAAAAGGAAGGGGTTAAATATAAAAATAAAAGTTTTTGAAATTTCAAAAAATAAATCTATCTGTTAAGCTCTGTCACCCCAACATATTAAATTATGATTTTAAAATATCAAGAAATAATTTCGCAGCTAACATCATTTATGAAACAATAGCATCTTTTTCTGATAGTAGATTCTAAACTGCAGTTGATATTTCAACTCTGTAACTACTCAAAAGAGATTGAAATTGTCATTGATGATAAATTCTGTACTACGATAAAATAGAGTCGAAAATTGTCTGAAGAAAAGGATTAACTATATTATGATCGAGCACAGATCTCCACATCAACACTCTAACTAGGCGAAATTTGTATTAATGATGAATTTCTTTTAGCAATAAAATGGTGATATCATCTGCTAACAGGGTGTCGCAGGAAACTACCCTGTTAGCAGAGTATATGACCTAAAACTGTAAAAAGTGGTAAAATCTCAATTCATTTTTATTATTTACTTAATTATTCAATTGTAACTACCACTATGACTTAAATTTCAAATTATTCAAATTTAAATCAAAAACACTATACAATGGACATCAATATTAGCAGGGCTAATTTTAAACACGAGTAAGAGCTTACGCTCATGCTCGATCGTTGATAAGGCATCCTTAAAGGACATCAAATGACTTTTCCAATAGACCTTATCATTCTTACCTATTCAACTATCACAAATAGAAAATTTAGAATTTTAATCAATAGCTCTCTATCGGACAACAAAAACATTCAAGCAGGTGAGCCCTTTGGAAGTATTCTTTTTACAGCCGACTTCCCCTTTAACAATAATTAATTCACAGCCTTTTCACAAATGCAGAAGAAAATCTACGAAATAGAAACTTGGTGCTCCAAATGGAAAACGAAACTCCACCCGACAAATATCAGGTGTTCATTTTTAACAGCAAGAAAAAAGGAAGAAATATTCCAGACATCTTACTCTATATTCAAATTATAAAGCCTACAAAAAGCGCAAAATATCTAGGAATTACAATTACCTCAAACTTAAATTGAAAAAGACACATTGACAACATTATCTAAAGAAGCAAAAAGTTATCAAATAATGTGTATTTAATCTGTTTCACCTATCGTAATAGAAATGTATTTCTATAAATAAAAAGACTATAATTCAGTATTTATAAAAGAAAAAACAGAGCAAACGCATGCAAAGTAATATATAGTTACATAACACAATTCATTTTTACCTCTTCGTATGATGAGCTTGGCAGCTAAAATATTTAACTTAGTACAAAGTCAGGCACTGATGTTTATGTTGCGACTAAAAAAACCTAAACATATTTTACATGCCTTTGTTTCCTTTGACATTTGCCCTTGACATTGTAGACAAAGAGTTTTCATAAAAACGTCATCATTCTATTCTAAGAAACAATTATGACAATCGGCTGTCTTTCTTTTCATAGGGGGGAAATCCCCCATTCATTGTTGTTAATTCACGCGACAATATTCCAGGGAAGAGAAACACATTTCAGTGTAAAATATGGAAGTAAATGTAGAAAATGGAAAGGTGACGTCACAAAAAGAAATATGTGTGCCTTAAAATACGGTGTCTGGGTTTATTTCATCAGAAAAAAAATTTCATAAAACCCTGAGTAAAGATATTAACTATTAACACTCAAATCTTGCTATTATGATGATGCTCCTACTTTTAAAATAATACCCAGGGTTCGTATGGCTCTTTAAAGTTTTTAAAAGTTGCAATAAAAGGAGATGCATTTTCATAAATAAATTCGTATTCACCATTTCGCCTAACATTTATAAAAAAAATACATCTAGCAGACAAATGATCTAGAACGTATTTTCAAAGTGAAAGCTAATAAAAAGAACTTTGTAACTTTTAAATTACAATATTGGCATCACTCTTTTTTAAGGACCTTAGGAACCTTGGGTACTACAAAACTTTCCAACAACTACGGAATTTCTGCAGATTCGGAATATATTTTCTTTGTGGTATCAAAAGAAAAGTAAAGTTATTTTAATAAATCAGAAAAAAAATTTTTTTGTCGGAAACTACTTGTAAGTAATTTAAGTACATTGATAAAAAGTCATCTATCCTCGATTGATATTAAATTTTCTGCGTCGCGGTCAGGGATGGGCTAGCCCACGAGGATACCGGGAGCTATTCCAGTGCACCCTCTGTCTTGGTTACTTTCTCTTAAAATAAATTTAAAACGAAATTTACATCAATTTTGAATTGAATCCCCGTTTTTTATTGGTAAAATTATAAATAAGTGATTTGTAATAAAATTTTATTTTATCGTTCACCCATTTCACATTATTTACTCTTAAAAGGCTTTTTTTTCCTCCCTTTTTGTTCCATCTGACCAGGGATTAAAGAGGACGAAGGTCACGGTATAACCATCTGTAAAAGTTCCTTGAAGCTAACAACCACCCCACCTACTTCATCAATTTTGTTGCTTTCTGGAATTTCAAAAGATTTTAAATACATTAGAATTTCCAATTTTAATCAAATTCTACACATTTCAATTTTAAAAAAAACTTCTATCTATGTAGTTAGACAACAAAAGTATGCTTTTTCTAATAGTTGACTCAGTGCAATGACATATTGAAAAATTACCGCCAGTTATTCCGAGAGTGTAAGGCTAAAGGAAGACATGATTTGAAATTTCTAAAGTAAAAGATATAAAGTTTTTCACTGAGTTTTAATGAATCAGCAAAGTCATTAAGAAAAGAAAATCATAAGAAATGTGCATCAAAAATAATAATAAACTAACTACATTTTATAAAAAAGTCTCGCTGTTTCTCACCAACTCCCAAAAGTTTTTATGCAGTTGATTTCAGATTGTTTCGAGCTCTGGTTGGGGGCGTTTTGCATACAGAATAGTAAAAATTCAAGACGTTAGAGAGGTATTCGTTCGTAAAAAAACGCAACTTTACAATTTAATTGTTTGATAAGTAATTAGAAATTTAAGCAAATGAAGACATATTGTTAATTTTAAGTTAATATACGAAAGACACAATTCTACTGCTAGTAATTTTCGCCTAACTAAATAAAGGTAGATAGGTACTTTATTTACGTCGCACTAGAGCTGCACAATGGGCTATTGGTGACTGTCTGGGAAACATCCCTGAGGATGATCCAAAGACACGCCATCGCAATTTTGATTCTGAAGAGGGGATGGCTCCCCTGCTTTGGAAGCCCGATGGCATGCTCGCGAAGTCGAGCACTTTACGGTAGAACAGTTTAACGAGAACCGATAAAGCCCACCCTTCGGTCCCTACGCAGGCTGATCAAAGTGGTCACCCATCCCCTTACTGACTGCAGCCAGTGATGCTTGACTTCGGTGTTCTACTGGGAACCATGTCTTTACGATCACTCCACTTGAGGACAACTAAATAAAGGAATCTTCCCCTGTTTGTTATCTCTCTCCAACCCTTTCCTATTTAAATATAACAGGAAAATCTCCCACGAAAATCGGGAGATTCAGCAGCTATGCAAGATAATTGTTCCAATAGTTATTAGAAATTTAAGCCAAGTTATATGTATTTGTCACTTTCAGTTTATGGGCAAAATATACACCTGAACTAACTGCTCATACAGTTTGCTGTTTAATTCAGATCAGTTTCGCTCGCTTAATTATTGTTTAGTTCCTCAGTTTTTATACTCGAATATCTTTTATACTTCATATTAATATATTACAATAATAACAAAAGTAGATGAAATGCTCCGGCTCACGGTTGCTAGTTAGCTTCCGAAATTCGTCTAAAAATACTACAATACTCTTCACACATTTATAGAAAAATGTTAAATAAAATTCTAGTAACAAAATGTTGATGTATTCATTAGTTGTGTTATTTAGTTTAGCAAAAACTGTTAGATGGAGAATTATTATTTTGAAGCACTGTTATAGTTTCTAAAAATGAATAATTTGTGTACCGAGCAGTTCAAGATTAACAGTTAAAGATGTCCAAGATAAAAACAAGAGAAAGTTTTTTTTTTCCAAAAAAAAATTAAACAACAACCATTTTTTCCAATGGGTAACCTATGATCGCCGCAAGGCTATCACAGGTTACCCATCAATTTTCTTCATTTTGTAGTGAATCGTATTTATTATAACATTGTTTTAGAACTGGGCGAGACTGCCGTTTGTTTGAAGGAGATTAAAAATTGCTTTTGGATAAACTTAATTTGGTTTAATGAATGAATATATCTTTTCAATTGTCGCTCGACTTCCAATAGAACAAAATCAAATTTTTACTCAAATTATTGGCAATTCAGCTAGTCTATAGACGCTGACCTCCAGGTAATTTCCTGAGTTTTTGTGTTTCATGAATTGGAGTCAGGGCTGGATTACCCATTTAAGGGGCCCCCCAATGATTAGGGGCCCCCTTAAAAGGGATTTTTGGAAAAATTTATTTTAAAAAAAATTAAGAAAAACAATGATTTTTCAAAATGTTATGATTATTTTTTTAGATCTAATTTAATAAAATAAAGTAAAATTTAATTTATTATTATTTATTTTAATTTTAAATATGCTTTCTTAAATGAAAAGATATATAAATACTTTTATAATTGAATAAATAAAAAATATACCAGAAAAAAATTTAATCTAAGGGCCCCAAAAATTTTAATGGCCTGGGGCCCCACGTACGCTTAATTCGGCCCTGATTGGAGTGGAAACCGATATTAATGGTTTTCTGAAAGTGAAACTTAGGAATAAACTATGTTGTTTTGATTGAAAGAGCGGAAATGTGGTCTAGTAACCTTGGCGCTGGAATTGGAATTAGAAGAAACTGAAACGATAACTGCATCCAGAAAACGTGATTTAATTGCAAATGATAAAGCTTATGAAGAGAAAGAAACTAAGTTACTGGTAGAAGGTGAAAGAGAGATTAGAGAAAGAAGTGAAAGAAATCGAAAACAATCAACGCTTAGAGTTGCAGGCAAATTTGGAATTAGAAAAGTTAAGAATTGAATTTACAATTTGAGGAACAGTGCTCTTGAACAGAAAGAGAATGAATAAAAACGTCGCATAGTTGCGCATCTTACTTATTATAATTAGTAAGCTTAGTGTTTGCGATTTGAATTTTTTAACTTTTTAACATTCATATGTGTGTGTGTTATTTAAAATTTTTCTTTAGGTTGAATTCGATAACTTAAACAAATTTATTAGTACTTGGTAAAAATTTAATAAATCACTTAAACTTTCAAAAATTTCAGATTTGAGTTTCAATTAAGATTTTGGATTTGAATTTTTGTTCTTTATTCTGAACTTATGCAGTTTTTAATTTCATTTTTCATAGGTTGTATTTTAAAATTCAAACTAAGAATAACAGAAATAAATGAAATATTAATTAGAAATTCCTACTATTAGTTCTCACTCGATCTCCCTATATATATTTATATATCTTGTTCAAATTTTCAATTGTTAATAAAATACTTTTTATCTATTCACTCAAGTTCAAATAAATTCTTTTTAAACTTGTAGTGGATGACACTTAATGTTAATACAGTTTTTTCAAATATTAATTTATTTATTAAATTTAATTAATTAATTTTGCTTTTAAATGGGAGAAAAAAATTTCTCCTCTATAAGATATTCAGCAGGATATAAATTTAGGAATAAATACCATCAGTGGTGAAGCGTGTAGATCGTTGGAAAAAAATTTCTTTTTCAGATTCTTTTTTCATTCTGGGTTCTAGTCTGAGTCAAGGAGGTAACAAAATGGAAAACGTAACATGGCCAGCAGCAGGTGAAGCATAGGTCAAGCAAGAATTCGACTTCTACCACACTGATACGTCACACCCATTCATACATCCATTAATCATCCACAGATCGTAATTTTAACCTGAACCAGAGAACGATCAATTTCCAATTCAGTACCCCAGAAGTATAATTTGTTATGGGGACATAAAGGAATTTGCGACAGATTTAGTGTGCACCAGTCACTATTTACAACACTGGGAGTCTTCGGCTAGCTGGATTCGAACTCCCATTCTCCCGAAAGTGAGTCCGGTATTCTAGTGTTAGTTAAATTTATATTTTAATGTATGATTCTTTGCTTTGTTGTAAAGTTGATTTAAAGTTATTTTCCACATCACTACATGTAAATGTACGACCACAGTTGCAGATCGCAAATTTCAGCATTGCTTTACAACTTTTTTTTCATAAAAACTTAGCGTAAACTCGACCTGGTGTAATAAATTATTATTCATTAATCGCATTTTTCATCTTTAACCTTACCTGCTTTAGAGCAAGGTGATCAAAATTTTTATTGATTACCAGAATAACTAATACAGAAATCTAAAAATTTCTGATTTATTTGGTATCCACTGGAAAATATCTTTTATAAAAAGGTAAAACAATAAAAAATAGGAAATCGTAAATTTTTTATTTGCGTTTTTGCTAAAACGTGATCATTCAAATTACATTTGAAAAATAAATAAGAAAATATCACATCAAACATTAATATATCACTTGTTTAAATCAGCACTGTTGGAATTCGTTGAAATATAATACCGTTCAAATTTGGTACACCCTTAAGAGGACGCCTTACAGCGGCGGAAGTTTTCGTTGCAGCAAATTCTCTTTCTCCTTCATCACTAATTTAAAATTTAAAAGGAAGAAAAAGTAAGTTTAAGGCAAACCTAGAGTAAGTTATGAAGTTTCAGTTGCTGAAAAAAATACTTTACAATATTAAAATGCAAATAAATCATTAGAAGAGAACTTGACCGTCGCGTAATCCTAAGTTATCATATCATAATTTATTTTCATTTGCATATTTTAAAATTTTCTTCTCAGTATTTGAAACTTCATGGCATACTCTAGGTTTGTCTGAACTCTTTCTAATCTTCAAATTTTATATTAGTAATGAAGGAAAAATAGCATTTTCGAGGAAAATTTCCTTCAGTGTTTCCTTCTTTAATAATAAACTCTTAATTTGAATAAAATTTTAATAACTTCTCAAAATTTTCTTGGTTTGATTTAACAACTAAAATAAAGTTGCACAAATTTTGCATTGTATTGTGATCAAAGATACGGATATTATGATTCAGCGTTGATTTTTGAGACAACTTATTTTTCCAAGAATGTCCTGATCCAGATTCTTCAACATTTCCCAAGTGTTTCTTAATCTTAGGAATAAGCAATTCTTTTATTTTCCATTTTGAACGGGTCTACATATAAGATTCAGCGTTGATTTTTGAGACAACTTATTTTTCCAAGAATGTCCTGATTCAGATTCTTCAACATTTCCCAAGTGTTTCTTAATCTTAGGAATTCTCTTCATTTTGAACTGGTCTACAGATAAGATTCAGCGTTGATTTTTGAGACAACTTATTTTTCCAAGAATGTCCTGATCCAGGTTCTTCAACATTTTCCAAATGTTTCTTAAATTTTGGAATAAACTATTTTGTTTATTTTCCATTTTGAACTGGTCTACAGATATGATTCAGCGTTGATTTCTGAGACAACTTATTTTTCCAAGAATGTCCTGATCCAGGTTCTTCAACATTTTCCAAGTGTTTCTTAAATTTTGGAATAAACTATTCTTTTATTTTTCATTTTGAACTGGTCTACAGATATGATTCAGCGTTGATTTCTGAGACAACTTATTTTTCCAAGAATGTCCTGATCCAGGTTCTTCAACATTTTCCAAGTGTTTCTTAAATTTAGGAATAAGCAATTCTTTTATTTGCCATTTTGAACGGGTCTACAGATATAAGTCAGCGTTGATTTTTGAGACAACTGTTATTTTTCCAAGAATGTCCTGGTCCAGATTCTTCAACATTTTCCAATAATTTCTTAAATTTAGGAATAAGCAATTCTTTTATTTGCCATTTTGAACTGGTCTACAACTCCGAGCAAAATAATCATATTTATAGCCTTGAGCACAATTTTGTGTGAATGTTGCAGAATATGGAGAACAAGCCTTACTTCCGAACAATCCACAGAAGGGCCTGGACAATCCTTGGATTAAGAATTTTGGACCAGGCGATCTTCTATTTCTTCTGATGTCTGGTTGTAGCAACTGGAAAGGTAAAGCAGGTTCTTTATCAGTTACATACTCCTTAAACGGAACATCATTGAGGATGCTATGAAATTCCTTTTGAAACCTTCTGAAAACATCACTTTCAATCATGTCTGGTAAAGGTATAGAGATGCTTTGTCCTGTATGCATCAGAGATTGAAGCAATAGCAGTAGCATTATCACATGTTTCAAAACAATCTTCATCCTGTAACCAAAAAAGTAATTAATTATCTTTTTTTATTTAATATGCTTCTATATTACACTGAACAATTATTTTGTTAGAATGATAAATGTAGCTGTTTCATGTTTACTTACCAAACAATACCTCAAGAGTTTTCCCCATGCTTACTTTTTTTTGCTTGTATTAAAAGAATAAAAATGTAATTGTTTGTTTCTTTATTGCGAAAACCATCCGAATTTATTAACAATTTTGCTGTTGAGTACGATTACATAATAAAGGTACTCTTTAGAAAAGTTGTTGATTGCTAGCCAAATGGCTAAACTATCCAGTGAAAACATAATTAATGGAATGAATTTGGGAAAAATAACTCAATTTTTTTATTTTTAGTTGACGGCCGCAATGCCAGCGTTATTGTTGTTGGATTTCGAAGCCCCCATAGCCAGGATTGTAAAATTATTCTAAAGAGTATGGAAGGTTTCCGGAAAGAAAAAGTGGATCACGTTGGAATTTATCATGGTTTGATAGGGGAGATCATTTATGAGGAAAGAACAAGTTGGGAAAGGCTAAGAGAAAAACCGGTGTATGAAAGAATATTTTGTATTTACTGACACTGTTTCAACTAAAAATATCCTGGAACTGAAGTATTAAAGGATATTACTTTTTAAAGCGAGTAAAATTATGTTTGAACTAAAGAAACGCGGTTTTGTGCTGCCAAAAGAAATCTGTGAGAGACAGAAACAGTGCCAACTTCTTAAACAGAGATAGGGATTTGAGTCCATCTGCAGGAAGGACTCTCTGCTGCACGAAGACTTGAGATATAAATTATTTAGATAATGCGGATTGGGTCTGCTATATTCCAGCACATTTTTGATTGTAGCTTTAACAATCCGGATAAGATGAAAAGTTCGAGATCTCTATTACATGCTAGACCATGAAGCGCGTTAGTTTATTGAAACTTATATTTTGAGGTAGGACACGTACAATTTGTAGTAAATTCTTAGAATTTTAATGGAGTTTAATCGATGAATTTATTCTTTAAAATGGTAAACTGGGTCGGTTGGAAAGGAGCATTCAATGGAAATATTAGTAGTAGCGTGTTTTGAAGGTGTGGTAGCTATTTTCCAGTCATTACACTAATTTCAGTTTACGAGAAGAACACTTTGAAAGTTTAGAAGTTTACATTAGAAGTTATAGAGGTCAGCTTTAGAAGTTTTACCTTAGAAGTTAGTTTTAGAAGTTTTAAATTTCTACTGGTTTGTAACATCTTTGAATTAAGTGTTGGCATACTGGCAATAATACACCGGAAAGGATTAAGAAATATGGAAATTTAATGGTTTATTATATACTAGTTTTTTATCTTTTGCAAGGTTCAATTAACATCCCTGCCTTTAGATAAAAAATATAGGAGTCTACCAGGCTGAACGGTGCGCAAACGCTGTGCAAAACGTGGAGGTAGCGGGTTGGAATCCTATTGTTACCTGTATCTTCGTGCTTTCCTTATCTGTATTGTGCTATTTTTCCTTCTATTTGCCAAAGGTTTATAAGCATATATTGAGCACACAAGCCTGCAAATGTATGAGAAATCCAATAGGAGCAGGTCGTTGTTATGTGCTAGAAGACTGTGGATTTGTTGCCTGTTATATTCGATCGGGCCTACTTCGCAAAATTAAGATTATGATTTGAGATACTCTAAACATACGTTCGAGGCAGAATTTGCATGACGTTTGTGACGCAACCATCCATGTATACAAACGGTTCACGTTTTGCTTTTTTATGTTTTATTTCGTAGATAACCATGATGCTGGGGTTTTAAAAAAATTTTGCTTGCATATATGCAGCCACGTTATGCTATTTTCTAGAAGTTGCTCGAAAATATGGGGAATACAAAATCTTCTTCCTTCGATACTTCATACCCGGAGTCTTTTTCTGTGTCTTATTGGACAGTTTGTTTTTACTTTCGCCGGAAACAAATGAGCGTCTGACACTTCTGGTTCATCATCAAACTCAGACAAATCTTGTTTGTTGTCAATCTTGTCAATTGCAACCACACCAACTCAACCCACCTTATAGCAGAAATAGACTCTGTCCCCTTCCAGTTCCAAATGAAAGAATATAAAATAGATTCCGAAGGAATAGAGGGCTGCTAATACAACAACAAAGGCCACGGATCCAACGACGGCAAAATATAATCTCTGCTATAAAAATTATCTTATAAATACCGATATCAGTGAAATGTCTATCCAATTGCTTTTCAACAAAACTATCATTCTTAGAAACTTGCCCTGCCGAGACTCTGAGGACGACATTAGCTCCAAATTTCATGAGGTAAACCCAATTTATGCTATAAAAATCTGTCGTTTCTTGAGAAACGGAAAACCGACTAGCACAATCATGTTAACTGTCCTATAAGTACGTAACTTTCTTAAAAAGTCATGCTTTAGTATCAATATCAAGATACCAAAGTTTCTCACGATAGTAAACCCAATGCAAAACTTGCTATGGATTATAACTGCAAAATCACGATAGTAAACCCAATGCAAAACTTGATAGGGATTATAACAGCAAAATCACGATAGTAAACCCAATAATGCAAAACTTGCTATGGATTATAACTGCAAAATCACGATAGTAAACCCAATGCAAAACTTGCTAGGGATTAAAACTGCAAAATCACGATAGAAAATACAATGCAAACTTGATAGGGATTATAGCTGTAAAATTACGTGGTAAACCCAATACAAGACTTGATAGAGATTAAAACTGCAAAATCACGATAGTAAACCCAATGTAAATTGCTAGGGATTATAACAGCAAAATCATGATAGTAAACCCAATACAAAACTTGCTAAGTATTATAACAGCAAATTAACGATAATATGTTAAACTTGTTAGGGATTACAACAACAAAATCACGATAGTAAACCCAATGCAAAACTTTCTAGGAATTATAACTGCAAAATCACGATAGTAAACCCAATGCAAAACTTGCTAAGGATTACAACTGCAAAATCAATTATGGTAAACCCAATGCAAATTGCTAGGGATTATAACTGCAATTAACCCAATGCTAAACTTGCTAAGGATTAAAGCAGCAAAAACTGTAACGAACCTATATTTAAAATTGTTTCAATATTGTGGTACTTACGAACATGACATAAATATGGAGAAAGAATATACCAAATAAAAAGTTAGTTTCTAAGAAAAGTAGAACTTACCTAAACATTGAAATTCCTACAATGAGAGTTTCGATCAGACACAAAAAATCCGAGCTTATCTTTAATTAATTAAAATTACTATTTTATCTGATTCCTTCATTAAAATCAACTATGCATATCTCAAAAAGGAAACAGTCAGTAACAGGTAAACATTTTCATTCATGAGTTTACTCTAAATAGTCTCAAGCATTTACGTCAACAAAAAAAACAGTTTACGTCATTTTCTCAGAGGAGATGATAAATTATTATAGACTCTTGAGAGTAAAAACAATGGGCTATAACAATCTCAATTTTTCTTCTCATCCATAAATTACTGTTACAATTCCTCTGGTCAAAACGTTTAGTACTTTACTTGCATTTAATGGTAAATTATTTGTTGCAAGTCTATAGAATTTTATTTACAACCCTAATGGACATTCGCAAAATAAATAATATTTTTTAACAAATTAACTTTGTTTATGCTGTGAGTTTTTGCGAAAATAATAAAAGTTGTGGGAAAATTTCAAAAGTTTCTTTTTTTTTCACCTCGTTGTGCTTACTGCACCCTGTACTGTATGTGTTAAAATTAACATTTAAAAAAAACAGCCTAAGTTTATTTTATTTGTGCGAATTTCAATGAAACTTTCAGTTAAAAAGAAAATAAACAATTTTTACTTATAGAAATTTTCACGCAGTTGTTCAAATAAGAGCAAAATTTTCTTCAAATTTAAAAATATACCATCTGAAGGTCGGCAATGATTTTTTAATTAATCATGCGTGAATTGCATTTGGTCTCCTTTCTATTGAAATCATTTTCAAACTGCTGCGTTTTTACCTTCAGCGCACAATGACCAAACCGGTGACCAAATGATATCGGTTTGTTTTAGTAACCGCATACAATGTGTTAAAATGACTAAAATTGATTTCCTTTAAATTTAAAAACACGCCCTATGACGGGGACAATCTTATTTTAATTCATTAAGTGTAAATTGCATTTGATATACTACCTATTAAAATTATTTTCTAACTTTTGCGTTTTAAACCGCAATGCACCACTTTTAAACCGGCTGACCAACGGATTGATTTGTACGTACCATCTGTAAAATGATATAAAATTTAACAGAACTTCCTGGTTGGTTGGTTCTAATGCCACTTGCCATACTAGCAAGCCTGCTTGGTGAAACCGAGCAAATTTAAGGTAGAGGGTGCGCTTCTTGTTTTTCAGTGGCGCCATCTATGGCTAAGAATTCGACTTCTGCCACATCATACGTCACACCTGTTTTTATAAGGCGGACCCATTCATTCATCCACAGATCGTAACTTTGACCTGAATCAGAGAACGATAGATCTCCAATCCAGTACCCCCAGAAGTATTGATTTGTTATGGGAACATGGAGGACTTTGCGACTCGACAGAATTTTTACGTGCATCAGTCACCAACTACACGGGGAGTCTTCGGCAGGCGGGGTTCGAACTCTCGGACATGGGCCCAGCGGCCTACCGACCAGGCTATCCCGACCTCAGAATTTCCTATAAATTTAAAGATATGCCATCTGCCACGTGGCAATAATTTCTTTATTACAATGTGTTGAAATGACTGAGATTTTAACAGAACTACTTTTAAATTTAAAAATATAATGTCGGACGAGTGGCAATAATTTCTTTGTTACAATGTGTTAAAATGACTAAAATTTTAACAGAATTACTTTTAAATTTAAATATATAATGTCGGACGAGTGGCAATAATTTCTTTGTTGCAATGTGTTAAAATGACTGAAATTTTAACAGAATTACTCTTAAATTTAAAAATATACCGTTCGACAAGTGCCAATCATTTCTTTATAACACTGTGTTAAAATTTTATTAGAATTACTTTTAAATTTAAAAATATACTGTAGAAGAAAGTGATTGTTTTTTTTTTTTATTAATTGTATGTGAATAGCTGTCGGTCTGCAGCCTATTAAAATCATTTACTAACTTCTGTGTTTCTGCTTTGACCGCACCACAATTAAATGATCCACAAACCACGATTGCTTTTAGATGCAGCTTATAGAAACAAAGCACAAAACCTAGTATACCGACTTAATTCTTTATTACAATTACCGAGAGAAATAATTAAGTTACATGTTTCGGCAAGATTGTATATTTCATCATTGCTTGCGAATAAATTTGGTAACCATAATTTACACATAGATACAATACAATCAATTATTTCTTATTCCATGACAATAAGTTAAAATATTTATCGTATGCTTTGTTACAGTAGCATCGCATGAGGACAAATAGAATAAAATAAATTTATACGTAATGCGTTAAGTATTGTTTGTTTGTTAAGAATTTCTCCTTTTAGATTAAATAATAAAGAAGGAAATAGTAAAAAAAAATTCAAAGCTCAAGTACTACAAAAAATATTTTGAAGACAGAACACAGTATGCATATTACATCTTATATCAAATCTAACCAAGCATGTTAAGAAATTTAACTAACAATTAAAATAAACATATCCCTCGGTAAAATTAATAGTGAATGAATTACTTTTAAACCATTGCTGGAGTCAACAAAAGGCATATGTATTTATATGTAAATATTATTGTCATACATAATTTACATACTCTAAACCTTAACAAACTTATCTTTAAATATACACCTGTCGGGTAGACTATATTTGAGGGTGCTCCTTGATTTTCGCCAAGTTGTGATTGCGGTTGATCGCCTAGCTGGGCGATGTAGAAACCCAATCGTGATTCTGATTGGTTTAGATTCTAGCGTTATTTTTAAATGTTCAACGGTATATTTAATTTCAGAGGTCTGTTAATTCTACGTTGGATACCGGCTGGTAAGGTTACTTTTGCTTCTAGTCCTAAAAATGACTACAGTAAATAAGATAAATCTTAAGTTTCTGTACGGATTGAATAACAATGAAAAAAAAGCAGTGATTGACTGGTGTATGAATGAAGGCTTAATTAGTAACAGATATAAATGTCCTATTTGTGGGAGTTGTTTTTTTCCTTTTCTTTCTGCGCTTACTCCATTAATTTTTGCTTCGATTCAAAATGCATTTTATTCGGTTTATTAATTTTTCTTATATTGGGTTCATTACAATTTTATAAAGTTTTGGCCGATGTTTTGTTGAAATTTTCCAATGTTTTATTGAAATATCATTATGTTTTGGCCGCGATTCCTGTTACCACGGTGTTCCACGCAAACAGGAATGGCGCCAAACATAAGTCGCCAAGGGGCACCCTCAAGTATATTTTTACCATTGATTTTAGTGCTAAATATTTCTGTATGCATTTTAGCAATTCCAGTAGTTTTTAAAGTTTCAAAATAAGTATCAGTAGAATATGTAGGCAATCTAGACGGTAAAAATATACATATTATGATTTGTTTAAATTACTTTCATCAATGAATGGTTGTCGTTGTACAGTAGAACTATGTCTTTGAAATAAAACGTGATACTAGAGTATTTGAAAAGAATATTTTTACTTTGATTATCTTAACTACCGATTTTCCATTAAAATTTGCATAATTTTAGATTTTTCTTCATAATAAATACATACTTAAAGTTTTTATTTTGTGACAGTCAAAGGTATATGAATTTTCTCTATCATCAAACAACTTTGTACTTTTTAATTTAAAAAAAGCAATATGCCTTAAAAATTTGGACAACAGTTGCGAGGCTATTAGAAAGTTTAATATTTAATAAGTTCTCTACAGTAGAACTATTAAACAGTAGAACACGTGATTTTTAACTCATCTGAAATAAATATTCTGACACCAATATCATTGAAAAACAACATTTTTATTTACATAAGTAATAACTATAAATAATTCTATTGTCATAGCAACCTTAACTCAACAGCTTTAATTAATAAAACGGGACAAATTCTAGCTTATAGCTCACACGCGATTAAATAATAAATAAATGGAATGGAATTTACCTACTTTTATTACAACTCCAATCCCTGATTACATTTAAAAAGGCGATAACAAAATATCATTTTTTTGAAATAAAAATAGTAATTCAAGCCGTTAATGGCAATAATTATGTTCTGTTTAATTTATTTCATGTAAAGCCCATATCTGATACTTTTTATCTTTCTAGTTTCTTTGTTACAATTTTAACTTTAAGATTCTTTGTTACAATTTTAACTATGCAGGAAGTTAATATTTTTAAAAGACGTGGTTAAGACTTTTGTATAAATACTTAAATTATTTATATGAAGTGGTGGTCAAAATCATTATTAATTATCTTTGTTAAGTAAAAACAAAAATATTAAGACTATGAAAGGTAAATATAAGGAAAGCAAATTAATACGCAGCACGTAGTTTTTATTATGTCTGCAAGGACGCCAATGCTACTATTTGAGGACAAACTTTCCTAGTGATTGCATATAAATTATGTCTTCATACGTGATTTTCAAATTCTTAAATTTGATCTGCAGTCAACTTGCGTGTCACTTATTCAGATAACTTGCTCAATGTTTTTATTAGTTATAAATTTTCAGTCACGGTTATCACGTTTGGAGCCTTTTACAGTTCGCACTATCCTTAGGTAAAATTTTTTAAAAGGTGTTCGTTTTATTAGCTTTCATTACAAAATTGAAAATTCGATGCATCACATTTTCGAGGCTGCCAACTTTCAATGCTTTGGGGAAAAAACTTCTTCTAGTGGCAGCTAAGTTTACGTTTAAATGCATGAACATCTGTTTTTCTCCATCACTACATATAAACGACTCAAAAGTTCATATAAAACGTTACTTTGTTTGCTGGTAAGCAGGCAATTTAGAACAGCGCTATCGTGTGAAACTTTAACATTTAAGCAAAATTATGAAAGCTTCTGTTTGTTATTACCTATGCCTCTATGAAATGTTTTGAGAAAAGCTTATTAGTATTTAATAGCATTGAGTATGCTTATATTTATTTGTAAATCTTAAGTAAAGTGGGGATTGCAAACTTATTAAATCATATTTTATATTCTAAATTGTTCTGATTCTTTTTAAATTTTCTAAGGACCGTATGGACCCTGCTTTTTGAAGTAGTGAACCCTTTTCACTATTAGGACATCAAAAATTAGCATTCTGAGAGTTAAAATTTTTATATCTTAATATTTAGTAATTATATTAAAATATTGTATGAAATAGTGATTACATCAGTTTGAATAGTATTTT